TTTTTGGTACCGGGCATCGAACTCGGGTCCTTGCACTTGCGCAGCAGGCGGCGAAACCACTGAGCTAAATCCCCAGTCAAAAACTTTCGTGGTTTGTTTTTTTTCCCGGTACCGGGGATCGAACTTTGGTCCTTGCACTTGCACAGCAGGCAGTGAAACCATTCAGCTAAATCCCCAGCCCTTATATTTTTTAAATTTCCATGCTTGTATCAAGGTATTTTTTCTTTTTATGTATTTTATTAGTCCATTTGCTTCATCATGGCATGTTTACATATACGTATATTGTACCTTGTTCATATTTACCACCCATTATCCCCCATTTGTATTTGCCTTGTCCCTACCCAACATTTCCACTTCTCTAGTAATTTTCCTTCTACTTTCATGTTGTCTTTCTTTTATTTTTTAATTCTTTAGATTGTTTATATGAGAAAAATATGTAATATTTATCTTTCTGAGTCTAGTTTATATTGCTTAACATGATGATCTCCAGTTTCATACACTTTTCTGAAAATTATATGATTCCATTCTTTTTATAGCTGAGTAATTCTCTGTTTTGTATATATACCACATCCCATCAGTTGACAGGCACATAAGCTGTTTTCATAGCTTTGTAAATTGCCTTTCACTGACTATGGAAATTCAGATATCTCTATGGTGTGCTTTCAGTCTTTTGAGTTTATATAGGAGAACAATAAAACTGGGTCAAGTGGCAGCTCATTTTTTCAGTTTTTGAGAAATCTCTACACTAATGTTTATAATAACAATACTAATTTACATTCCTGCCAACCATATATAAGGGCTCCTTTTCTGCATCATCTTTTCTAGAATTTATTGCTTTTTATATACTTGATGACAGCCATTCTGACTGGGCTGTTTGGTCAGTTCTTTTGCCCATTTATTGATTAGAGATGTTTTTGGTGTCACTTATTGACTTGATGTATTTGAGATATTAATCGTCAGTCAGAAGAGTAGCTGGTGAATATTTCACCTATTCTTTGCTACCCCTTCACTCTCTTCCTTCCTTTGCTGTACTGAACTCCACGTGTTGATTCTTGGCATCATTTTTGGTATCGCTGGAATTTTATTTAGGATATGTCAATATGTTGAAGTTTTTCCCCTATGTTATCTTCTAACAGTTCCAAAGTTTTAGGTCTTACTCTGAGGTCATTGACCCATTTAAATTGATTTTCACAGTAAGAGATAGGAATCTAGTTTCAATCTTCTACACATGTATAGCAAGTTTTCCCAGTATAATTTTTTAAAGAAGTTGACTTTTTTCCAGTGTATGTTTGGGGTCTCTTATCAAGGGTGAGAGAGTTGTAATTGCATAGATTTATTTCTTTATCCTCTATTCTATTCCACTGTTTGCATGCCATTTCCATGCTGCTTTTAATTCTTTGGCTTATAGTATATTTAAGCCCTTAGTTCAACTTTGAAAGGTCCTATAATTCCAAAAATCAGGTATCATGATACCTCTAGCATTGCTCCTTTGTCTTAGTGTTGTTTTGGCTATCTGGAGTCTGTTGTGGTTCCATAGAAACTTTTTTTTTTCTAGTTCTGGGCAAAGTGTCACTGGTACTTTGCTGCAAATTGCATTGAATTTGTAGATCACTTTCTACAGTACAACAATTGTAACTGTATTTATTCCCCCAATACATGAATATGGGGGGGGGTCTTTCCATATTCTATTGCCTTCTTCAATTTCTTCAGCATTTTAAAAATATCTTTGTAGAGACTTTGATGTCATTTGTTAGGTTAATTCTTAGGCATTCTGTTGTTTTGTGGCTGTTGTGAATGGGATTTATTTCTTAATTTCTTGCTCAGAAAGTTGAATATTGGTGCATAGAAAAAAATACAGTGTTAATGTTGATTTTGTACCCTGCTATACTACTTGATTTTGTTATCAATTGTAAAATCTTTTTCTGGAGTCTTTGTTTTGAATCATATTATCAATAAAGACAGATAATTTTATTTTCTCTTTGCCTATTTGTATACTTTTTTTTTAACTCTTGAAAATTTTTTTAATTTAAAGTATTTTATTGAGCAGAGTGGGAGAGCTGACATGCTGGATTAATTCCTAATCCTAAAAGAAACAATTTTCATCCTTTTCTCATTCAATAAAATGTGGATTGTTCACTTGTCATATATGCCCTTTATTATGTTGCAGTATATCCCTTTAAAGCCTGATTCTGAACTTTCATCATAAACTGATGTTGAATTTTATCAGAGGATCGTCCCATTTACTTAGATAATAATATATTTATCCTTGATTGATTCTTTTTATGTTATATTTATTCACTTGCATATGTTGAAACTCTCCTATCCTTGGAATAAAACCAACTCCATTATGACAGTTAATGTGCTGTTTAATTTTGTTTAAACATATATGATTGAGAATTTTTGTTTCTATGCTCATCAGGAATATTTATCTGTGGTTCTCTTCTTTGTTTTGTTCTTTTATAACAGGGTAATACAGGCTTCATGGAATGAGACTATTTCATGGAATAGTTTAATGAATAAGTTTGGTGTAAGTTCTATAAAATCTGGTAAATTTTAGCAGTGAATCAATCCAAGCATAGGCACCTCTGCTTTCAGATACTTTTTATTACTTCTTCAATTTCATATCTTTTTATAGATATATTTAAGCTCTTAGTTCAACTTTGAAAATCCTATGTTCAAAAATATGCCCATTTCAGGTATACTTTCATGTTTGTTGACATTTAGTTTTCAAAATATTCTCTAAATTTATTTTGAATTTCACTGGAATAGCTGGAAATGTCCGTCTTTTCACATCTTATTTGTCAATTTTGTTTCTTTTCAAATTAATAATTTTGTTTCATTAATAGTTTTAATTGTTATTTTAATCTAATCTTACTACTCTTTTGATATTTATTATTTCTTCTAGTATATTTAGGTTTGATTATCCTTGTTCTAATGTAGAGACATTATTAGGTTATATTTTAGTATTGTATAAATGTGTGCTCACATTTTCAACTGTTTAAATTTTCTGTTACATTTCTGTTAGTTAACGTGAAGTTGATCCAACTGTGATCAAAAAACATACTCTGTATGACTTTAATTCTTTTAAATTTGTTAAGATGTCTTCAGTGGCCCAAAATATAATCAACTTTTGGTGAATGCCCGCAAGGGGCTGAAATTATGTGTTGTGTTTAATTATTTGTTGTCTTTTTAATTGTATATATTTCAGGTGTAAAACATGGTATTTTGACATGTGTAAATGAATACTACAATGAAGAAAAGCTGCCTATCCTTCTAACAGGTAGCTAAATGTATCTGTGTACATGTATGCATGTGCAGAAAGAGTTCCTAAAATTTATCTTATAATATTGTCTAGTTTTATCATGAGTTGGGTATGTAAACCTCACCATGAGTAGGAGCTGGGCTTACAGCTGAAGTAGAAAAGCAACTATCATTAGTCTACTTATTTATCCACTTTGCTCTCCCAGGAAACATAAAATCCTGCCTCCTGCTGTGAGCTTTTACAATGTACTACAGTAGAGGAAAGCAAGAAATCAATGAAATAAGCTATGTAAGGTTGAATTTTTTTTCAGTCTAAGGATAAATATTTGAGCCTCCTCATGAATGTACTCTTTTTTCCCAGTGCAGGGATGAGGCGTCTGGTGACAGTGTCTGTCCATGAGGTGGCACTACTGAGCCTAAGCTCCAGAAGACAAAACCTGAAAGATAACTAAACAGTGAAAGATTGTAGCAACGCAAGTTGGGTGTATTAAAAAGTTTCTTAAACAAGTAATCCAGGGCATATAGTTCAGAAAATCATTAGTGTAGCTAGTAGGAATCAACAGAGCAGCACTGAACCCAATAGACATTTATGAATGACTGAAAAGGTTTGCACTCTAAATAACAATGAAGGGGTAGAATAGGAGGCTGCTACTGGGTTTTATATAGTGAGTAGAAGCCAGTGATACTGCTAAACACCCAACAGTGTATGGCACATCCTCCACCACAATTATCTGGTACAAAACATCAAGAATGCAGAGTTTGAGAAAACCCACTCTGGATCTATGATTGCTGAGTGAGTATATGAATGTATGGATGATGATCATGCATATTTGTCAACATTTTGAGCTGCCCTGTGTTGATGCCCTATGTGAAAGAATCAAAGGAGGACCTGATAGAATTGATCCTGCCAGTATATGATGAGTAAGCTGGGAGCTGTATCCTGCCCCAGGAAATCTTTAATTGAGACCATATCCACAGTCTTCTAAGACACCAATAGACAGAAGCAGCCATGTAAGTGTTCTGAATCTTGGTCAGAAAGTTAGATAAATGCTTTTTGTTGTAAGATATTAAGATTATGGCAACGTTGTTACTTAGTAGTTGATAATTAAAACATTCTTCCAGGCACCAGAGTCTGACTCATCTCATTCTTCCCTCCTCTCATCTCCTTATAATTTCTCTTTAGCTATATCAGCTGCCTTTCTGACTCTCTCTGGACAAATATTCTTCTGGGTTTAGTGTCGCCAGGCATGATCATAGGGTGCCTCAGTCGCACTTATCTGAGAGAAACAGAAGATCCCACATTTGACAGCTGGGTCTTGTGCTTATGGTCTGGCATTTATCTGTGACCCTTCAAGACCTACAGATAATTCATACATCTGAGCCCATCCTCCATGTTCCAAAGTACCTCCTTATGGAATATGCTCAATATGGCCAATGTCCTATGCAGCCAGCCAGTATTGCCAGCCTAACTTAACACACGTATTGATGGTGCAGGAAGAGTAGTTTCTTGAAGAGATCTGGAGATATTATTAGATGTAAAATAGGATATGGATGTGGTTCAGGCAAAACAATGTCAGGATCATACAAGACAACTCTTGCCCTTCCTGGTACACTATTGCCTAATAGGACAATTTTCAAAATAGAATGTATTTCTTCTAAGGTCACACAGCTACAGAAAAAGAAAAGACATCATTCTTTTTTGTGTAGAAAATTTGGGAAGTGAGCAATCTTTTCTGACTGTTCACTCTTCATTGTGGTCACCAGTAACCATCAGTCTTCTTTTCCCTTTTAGGAGTTGATTTTCATCCTTCAGCCTGTCTCACAGAGTAAGAAGTTTACAGGAGCTCCAACCTGACCAACTGCCATGTCCATTTCAAAGACAAGAGTAAGGAAAGAAGCCAAGGCAAATGAACTTACACAGCCATTGTAGCTTCATCTAAGCTGTCTTCCCAAAGTCAAGACAATATCTCTTATTCCTAATTGGCCTGAATTTCTCTAGTCATATTTTGCTAAGAGACAGATCAGAAATGACAACCATTTGTTGTGGTATTGCTAACCTGAATAAAACTTAGTCTTTGTGCTTAACTGCAAGGGAAGAAAGAAAATTGAGAGGGACAGCCATTATTTTTTCTCTATTCTAAATTCAAAGTCAAAAAGAAAAATTATGAGCTATTATCAGGTGTATTTTTTTACTTCATAAATCATCACTTTTCTCTAGGTGTTTGTTCATTCCTAGGTGGAAAAAAGAAGTATTGGTTGATTGGACAAAGACTTCTCTCTTGATTAAATGAAGGTGTGTAAAGGAGAGGGAGAAAAATTTCTGGTTAAGGAGAAATGTGTTTCAAAGAAAAGAAAAGGATGAGATCCCAGCTGTTGACTCTGTGTTAGTTCACGTGCCACTGAAGTTTTGTTCATAAAGTCTTTTCCTACACCAATACCACAGCGATATATGCACATCCATGTTTATAGTGGCACAGTTTGTAATAGCTAAATCTTGTAAACAGCCCAAATGCCCATCACCTGGTGAGTGGATAAAGATGTGGGGGGGGGTATAAAATGGAGTATTACTCAGCCATAAAGAATGAGAAACTAGAGACATTTATAGCTAAATGGATGCATATTGATGCCATAGTCTTAAGTGAATAAATAGGACACATGTGTAAATACTGAATAGTGTCTATGGTGTGAGAAACTAAAAGTGTAAATAAGTACCAAAATGTATAATAGATAATCTGAAATAGGAAGAAAAGATCCAAAGGGGAAGGGGAAGTGGGAGGGCAAGGGTAAAGAAAGAAGGGGAAAAATGTGAGAAAAGAAGAAAGAAATGGAAACAAAGTTTTTTGTAAATAGGGAGGGGTGGAGGGGTGGAAGGGAGGGAGAGGAAAGGGGGAAAAAGGAAGAATCAAGATATACCATGTATAGGTACAAATTCCCAATGATGAATGTGATCATAATACATACCTAAAATGTACCAATAACTTAACGAATAAAAAAAGAAAAAGAAAGGAAGTATGAGTCAGTTGTTCTTACAAGCAAATCTCATGTTGCAATCTAATATTAGACTGAAAATGGTGCACATTTGCCTCAGACCCTCTATTTATTTTAAGAAAATACATTTTTAACTGAAGACAGCTTCTTTCTAGATGAACACGTTTTAACTCTGAACCCATGTAGAGAATTCCTGTCTGGCCTTAACAAAATCATGTAGCACTTAGGGACAAAGATCCAGTCTAGTAGCCCTGCACGGGGGGCCAAGATGGAGAAGACCTCCATGGCCACCATGACCTTCCCCTTGGAGCTGTGGTAGACAGGGAGGAAGGTGACCCAGACACTGCAGAACACCAGCATGACTTCGTTGAATGTGTCAGGCTGGTTCCTGGCCAGGAAAGCCACAGTGAAGCTCACCAGGGCCAGGGAGCCCAGGTATCCCAGGACACAGTAGAAGGCAGTTAGTGAACCCTTATTGCACATGATAATGATGTGGCCATGTTCAGAGTGTGCATCTGTGTCAATAAAGGGTGGATTTGTTCCCATCCAGATTCCACAGAGAGTGATTTGGATTAAGGAACAGATGGGGATGATGGAGTTAGGTGCCCCTGATACCAACAACTGCCTCATCCTTCTTCCTGGAGGAGTGACCTTAAAGGCCAGAACCACAGTAATGGTTTTGGCCAAGAGAGTGGAAACAGCCACAGTAAACACAACTCCAAATGTGGTCTGCTGAAGGATGCAGGTGGCTGTGTTTGGATGACCAATGAAGAGAAAGGAGCAGAGAAAACAGAAGGTGAGGGAGATGAGCAGGATGTAGCTGAGAGCCCAGTTGTTTGCCTTGACAATAGGAGTGTCTCCATTTTTCACAAACAGCCCAAGAACAGCAGCTGTGAGAATAGTGAGACTCAGGGCTGTGCCAGCGAGCATCTTGCCCAAGGGTTCTTCATAAAACAGAAATGTCACTGATTTGGAGAGACAGCGGTTTTGCTGAATGTTGGCATACTGATGATCTGGACATTTCACACACTGTTCCATGTCTAGTAAGAAATTGTCATTAGTTCATTGTTTCTTTATTATTCATAGACCCACCTTATACTTGGGCCTTTTCACTGAGCTACATCACCAGTTCTTTGATTTTTTTTTAAGCAAGTTCTCATAAGTCACTATATTGATCAGCCTGGGCTCAAACTTGGATTCCTTATGTCTCAGCCTCCAAGAGAGATGAAATTACAGCCATGTACCAATATGCCTGACTAATTTGGTTTTTGACACCAAATAAAGAATATTGTACAGAGAATAGCTCTTAATACTGCCCAGATCTTGGACCAGTGAACAATGCTATTATTTATTCTCCTCATAAATCTGGAATATTCACGAGAGCATTTTTCTATTCTCACAAAGGAATAAAATGCCTACCTATCTAAATCAAAACTCTGTAAGTGATACCCTGGATATTCTCTCAATGAACAATCACTTAATGAGAAATCAACATAACTTGCTGAGTTTCAGGGAAATATATATGGTGAATAGTATATAAAGTCAACTGGAGAAAATCCCCCACTTTATAAAAGTTTGTAATTTTTTCCAAAAGACAAATTGGAGGGCCGGGGATTTAGCTCAGTGGTTCTGGCACCTGCCTCGCAAGCACAAGGTCCTAAGTTCAATCTCCAGTACCCCCAAAAAAAACAACTTGGAAGTTTTATTGCAACTGGGTTAAATCAGTAGATCAAATTTTAAAAGTTTTAACATGCTTCTATTATTGAGGCTTTCCATCCATGAACATCCCTTACTCAACCATTTATTTTAGTTTTAATTTTCAAAATATTTTTCTATAGTTTAGTCATCTTTCTTTCAAAACTACTACAGGGTTTACCTCTAGATATTTAATACTTTTAAAATGTAACACATGGGGCCAGAGATTTAGCTCAGTGGTTCCACTGCCTGCTTCACAAGCACAAGGTCCCAAGTTTGATCCCAGTACCAAAAAAAAAAAAAAAACCAAACAAACAAAAAAGATGCAACACATGTAAACTTTTTAAATTTCATCTATGAATGGTTTATGACTCCAATGTAGAAAAAAGGGATTTTTAATCCATTAATCTTGTATTCTATCACCACTAAATTAAATTAATTTCTTAATTTACTTGGATTTTATACTTCCACATTAATATTATATTTTTTCCTTTCCAACAATATGTGTTTTCTGTGTTTTCCTGGATCTACTGCATTGGCCAAGATCCCCAGTGTAATGTCTTGTAGAAGTAGTGGAAGTAGTGATATGGAAATTTCCTATTTCATTCTATCTTTCAAAACTGGACCACAAATTGTGATATTTGTTTTGATTTTTACAAATACCATTTATGAAATTTAGGCAATTTAGAAAGATTTAGATGAATGAGATAGTTTTTTCCTACTTGTAATTTGGTAAAAACTGTTTTGGTTACTTTTTATTTGTAAATCATGGAAATGCATTGAATTTTATTGTATTTTCTTCAATATTGATATTATTTTTCTTTTCCAAAAACTAGTGCACTTAGTTATATTTTATAAACTGAATTTGTTCATTATATACCCTCCCTAAAATACATATCTTAATTTGACATAGAATATGAGAATTTACTTCAACAAGGAAAATGGTCTGTAAACTTTCATTCTTGTAATAATATCATTGGCTATGAGTAATACTACTTAGCTCTTCTCTTAAAATGAATTAATTTCAGCTTTTCCTTTTTTCTGAGAAAAGTTGAGGTAGTATTAGTATACTCTTGAATACTTATAAATGCTAATACTGATATTTGACATAAACTTGTAAAAAAAACCATTAAATTATGGGTTGAAATGTATTAATTTACATAATATTATAGAGATTTTTTATTTTTCCTTAGAATCATTTTGCAAACTTTTCATGGGATTTCATAAATTTCTGGTAAATTTTTTTTTTTTTTTGGTACCAGGGATCGAACTCAGGACCTTGCACTTTTAAGGCAGGCAGTGGAATCACTGAGCTAAATCCCTGGCCCTTTCTGGTAAATTTTTTAAAGATCAATGTTAAATTATTTATATTTTCATATGAATATTTGTCAGGATATCTGCATAAATGACCTAATTTTCAGGCATGGTATTATATTGTTTTGCAATTTTTCTTTGTTCTTGGTGAAATATTTTTTAGGCTGTCAATTTTCACCATAACTTTAGTTTTGTTTATTTTATATATATATATAAAACCTTTAATTTCTTAATAAATCCCTGTCATAGTTGTTTCTACCTTTCATTTTCTTTTTTGATACATCATTCAAATGTAGAAATTTAGCCTTTCTTCACATGAATATACATCATATCCCATCAATATCTATAACATAGGATATACATTTTTTTCCAAGTATAATTTCAGCTTCAATTCACAAGATTTGAAAAGTAACATTTCAATTACAGATAATTTTAAATTTCAGTTTTAATCTGTTCTGTAAACTATGTATTATTGAGAAATATATTTTATAAATTTGAAGCATGTAGTGATTGATATAATTCATTACATTATTCTCTATCTGTCCATATAAAATATTAAATAAAGTTTCCATATCCTCAAAATCAACAAAGAATATATGAACAAATTAACTGCATGGTACACTGCATAGTCAGTCTTGATATATTTCAAAGCAAATTTGAAGTCATAGTAAATATGTTTAAAATTTTAAAAGACATTTTAACAGATATTTCTTAGGCAAAGAAGTAGAAACAGTAAATAAACATATGAAAAAAATGTTCAGCATCACTGGTCATTCGAGAGATGCAAATGAAAACAATGCTGAGATTCCGTCTCACTCCAGAAAGAATGGCTGCTATCAAGAAATCAACAAATAACAAATGCTGGAGTTGTAGGGAAAAAGGAACCCTTCTCCACTGTTGGTAGGACTATAGTCTGGTTCAACCACTGTAGAAATTAATATAGAGATACCTCAAAAAACTAGGGCTAGAGGTCTCATTTGACCCAGCTATTCCCCTGCTAGATATCTTCCCAAAAGAATTAAAAGAATCATACCACAGTGATATATGTGCACCCATGTTTATAGCAGCACAGTTTGTAACAGCTAAAACTTGGCAACAGTTCAATTGCCCATCAACTGGAGACTGGATAAAGAAGATGTGTTTTTTATAAAATGGAGTGCTACTCAGCCGTGAAGATGAGAAACTAGAGACATTTATAGCTAAATGGATGCACATTGAGTCCATACTCTTAAGTGAAATAAATAGGACACACATGTGTAAATATCAAATAGTTTCTCTGGTGTGAGAAACTGAAAGTGTAAATAAGAATCAAAATGCTTAATAGGTAATGTGAAATAGGAAGAAAAGATCCAAAGGGGAAGTGGAAGTGAGATCGGTAGGGGAAAGGAAAGAAGGGAAAAGAATAAACATGAGAAAAGGAAAAAAAGCTTATTAGTTACAAAAACAGATTGAAAAATATGCAGCAGAAAAGTAATTCAACCATGTCATGATTTATCATAAATTTAGTTATTTCCAAAGTGGTACTTGTGACATGCAAAAATTTTCAATATTGTATTTC